TCTGAATATAGCTTTATTAAGAAACTCTAAAATTACAGGAGATTTCAATGAACATTATCTCTGATAAAATTCAGAATGTAAAAGAGCAGTAAGAGCTGATAATCTGATTAAATGAATCTTTAAATATTCAATAGATTTAGTTAACAAGTCTGATCAACAAACATTCGTTAGAAAAGATATAAAACAGAAATCTATTATAGATCTAATCTTCATATTATAAAATCTAATGAAAAAAAGACTTATAAACTGATTTATTAATTAAATAAGACATCAGAATCAGATCATGAGATTATTCAATTTAATATTAAACTGAGTGAAGAATAAATGAGTGAAAATCCTCTTCTCTCTAATCAGTTTAACTTTTAAAAAGCTGATTGAAAGGCAGTTGAAGAAAGTATAAAACTGTTAAAATCTGAAAGATAGAGTGAGCTATATTGAAATTCTGATCAAGATATCTCAAATAAAATGCTTGAGAATAGAGTGAAGCTCATTATATCTATTATTCTAACAAGTGTTAAAGATAATATTTCAAAGAGAAAGTCTTCTAAGCATTTAAAATCTTGATGAAATGAGAATATCATATCTAAAAGACAATAATTAACTACTGCTAGAAGAGATTGAAGGAATGATATAATTTCTGATAAAGAGTTCAAAGCTGTCAGAAATGAATATTTTTCAGATATTAAAAGAGTTAAAACAGACTACTGAAATAAATTTCTTAAAGAAGCATAAGAAAGAAAAGTTTTTACAGCTTTTAACTATACTAAAACAAGAAGTGTAGCAAAACTTTCAGTTTTAGAATATAAGTTTCAGAATGAATTATATACAGCAAACTCTTTTGAGAAAGAATATCAAGCTTTTATAAGAACTCTCTTTTAAAACTCATCAGATTCAGATTCAGAGAAAGAGAATATATCACTTCTCAACTATATTAATGAAAATGACTGAAAATAATCTGATCTTATATAAGATGAATTAGAGTCAGCTATCTTCTCAAGTTGAGTTAAAACTGCTGCAGAGCCTGATTCAATTAATCACTTGATTATTTAAAATATATACTTCTACTTAAAGAATAAGTATTTTGAACTCTTTTTCAATCTCTTGAAAAATGAATATCATTATGAATGCTGAAGAGAAGTCACTGAAGTGATTCTTGCAAAATCTAATAGAAAAACTTTAATTTCTAAGTTATATAGAGTAATATCTCTATTGAACTATCTAGAAATGATTTTAGAAAAGATAATAGCTACTCAACTATCTTTTATAAGCTCTATTAGTAATTCTCTTTTATTCAGTGAATAAATGAGAGATAGAAAATAATGTTCTGCAATTAACACTGTTCTCTCAGTTATTCATGATATTTAAATAGTAAAGCATGAAGATCTGATCTCAACTGCAGTTTTCATTGATATAAAAGAAGCATTTAATCATGTTTCAAAGTCAAAGTTAATTCAGACTTTGAAGATGTTAAAACTGTTACTTTCTCTAATAAAATGAGTTAACTGTTTTATATCTAAAAGAATCATACAACTTTTCTTTGATGAAATGAAATAAGATAAGACTGAGATAAAAATAGAAGTACTGTAAGAATCTTCAATCTCACTCATTTTATTTACAATATACACTGTATATCTATTCAAAAATAGAAATATGAAAATAGTGTGATCTCTGAGTTATGTGAATGATATTGATCTAGTCTACAGCTCAAAAACTATTAAAGAGAATTTGAAAGCAATTAAAAAAGCTATAAAGAAAATCTTTGTTAGAGCAGATATTAATTAAATTCAATTTAATATGAATAAAACTGAGTTAATTCATTTCTTTTCTAGATTCAATGAGAAAGAACTATCTCTAACTCTTTTAAATAGAGAGATTAAACTCAGTGTAAATGTTAAATGATTAGAAGTATGATTAAACTCTAAGTTGAATTTTAAATATCACATTTAACAAAGAACTGTCAAGGCAGAAAGACTATTGAATAACATAATCAGACTATTAAATACAGAGAGAGATCTATTCTTCCAGACTATGAGACAGTTATATATAGTCTGCATTATCTCAGTAGCTGATTATGAAGTTCAAGTTTGATGAAATAATCAAGGAAATTTCACTGAACTCTTTCAAAGTTTGTAAAACAGAGCTTTGAGAAGAATTCTGAAAGTATTCAAATCATCTTCTATTAGAGCAATGAAAATTGAAGCTTCAATTCCTTCTTCTGCTATTAGATTTGAAAAGACCTGTATGAACTATGCTCTGAGAGTTATAAAGATAAGCTCAAATTATATAATCAGAGAAAGAGTCTCTTCTTCATTTTCATCAATTAACTCTGGAAATGAACTGAATTGAAATAGATTTCTTGATTAAAATGAAAATAATTCTTCAAAGAAAATGCCTTCTCAACTGTACAGACTATGCTCACTGATTAAAAATCAATTTTCTTCTTTAAATATTGAAAAAGTTGATTATGAGAAGATATCTCTCCGAAGAGAAAAGCTTGAATCTCTTATAGACTTGTAAATAAGTGAACTATCTAAGAAGAAAGAATATGAACAGTATTTAAAGAGAATTTCTACAATTAATATAGAAGACTCTATTCTGATTTATTCAGATGACTTTAAAAATGAGAATTTGAATAGATTAGATGCTGACATTGCTAGACTGACCGTGTGACTGTGTCTGAGATCAGAATCAAACTTTACAGTTGTCATATTGCCTAAAAGCATTACTTCTGATCATGATTTGTGTTCATCACATTGATTTCAAATCACATTATTTCAAATATTAAAGGTCTCAGATTCACTTTTCAAATAAAAATCTAGTCTCAGATAAAGAATATGTTTGAATTCTTAGTCACATTTTCATTCTGATTTCATTATTGAAAATGGCATTAAATGAGACTATGAAATCATTTCTCACTTACATAATATCATAACATAGTGCTCATTTGTTGAAAATTCAATAGAGAGTATTATCAAATATCATTACTTTTCTGAACACAGATCATAATTAATATCATTTTAATTAAAAAAAAAATACAAAATACAAAAAATAACAAAAAAACAAAAAATAAAATAACAAGAAAAAATCACAACAAAAAAAAAAAAAAAAAGAGAAAGAAAAAAAGAAGAGAAAGAAAAAAAGAGAAAGAAAGAGAAAGAAAAAAAAAAAAAAAGAAAAGAAAAAGAAAAAAATAAAAAATACAAATAAAAAAAATCAAGATCACAGAGCTGCAGTATTTTTAAAATACTCACTTCTTAGAGTCTTTGCAATGTTCATTATTAACTGTGTATCTCTCACAGTGAGAATAGCACAGCTGCAATGAGTTATTATCTTAATATCATCTAATAAATAATCAGTATATACCTATATAAATGTGAATAATTAGAAAATATATACTTAAAAAGTGTGATCAGAGTGAACTCTGCTGCCACTTGAATAACATCAAGAACAGAACACTGAAATCAATGATTCTTCTCATCAATTTCATGAACAAGATATGCAAAGATAATCTTGAGAAATATAAGATTCTCTGACTTCTGATAAAAACAGATCTCACAGAGAGACTCTATTTTCATCATATCAGAGACTGAGTGTTATCAAAAAGCATTACTTCAATACACATGCACTTACTACAGTGATTCATTCTTTACACATGTGACTGAGAGTTACAGCTTTCTCACATCACACAGCTCTTTCTGAGATGCTGCTGCTGATTTGCAACTCACACAGCCTTTCAGTCCAGTATACACTGCGCATATACAGCCCTGCATGCTGAGGCTGTGTTGATCATTATAGTCTGACGTGATACTCACTTTTCACAGACCATGTTTCATTTGATTGAGAGAGAAAAGAAACATGACTGCTGTTTTATTTAAGAGAAAGTGAATAATTAAATCTGTAGAAGATAATTTGATTTCTTCTACATTTAAAATTTGATTAGTCTATACTCTTCAATTTGAGAGTTTCTGAGAGTGTTTTAATAGTTTTCATACCAGCTTGAAATTAGTGATTGATTGAAGAAGAGAAAAGAGAGAAGAAAGAAATGAGAATAACTTATCTTTATAATATAAAAATAGAGAATTGCTGTAATTATTTATTCTAGCAACAAAGATCTGTTTTCCGCATGTATCTCTGATACAGATTATATGATAACTGTATATAAAGAATATCAACAGTGCATGTATTAAATGAAGATGATGTTGCTATGCAACACTGTAGCTGTTTTTGTATATTACTGAAAGCTGTTAATATTTTCTTTAAGTCTCTTTATATTTAATAAGTCAGTAATATATTTCAATGCACTCTCTCTTTCATCATTGTCATTATTATTATTATCATCATCATCATCATCACTATTATCATTATCATTACTATTATCATTATTATTATCATTATTATCATATTATTTCTAACTGTCTCTTCTGCCTTCACTTCTCTTCAATACTCACTGAAATCAATCATGTCATTTCTCTTCAAATATTCTGTGATTCTGTGAATTATCAAGGCGCGTGAGCATCATCACAGATTAAAGAGAGAGAAGAAGAAGATGTTCAAGCAAGAAGAGACAGATTGTAAGACATATTATAATGTCTTGAAGAGACTCTGTAAGAGAGTAGAATGATAATAATTTTAAGTAACACTTCTGATAGATTTAGACTGAACTAAGTATAGAAATAATGCAGATAACACTGCCTGTGAGAGATTAAAGAAGAAGATAGTAAAGAGTCTCATACAGTAGTGATGAGATCAGAAGAAGTTCTGAGAATAATTTAAGATCAAGATAGAGAGAGAGAGAGAGAAGAAGAGTGTTACTGTAAATAAGTAATAGTAGAAGAAGATTGAGAGAGTGTTAAAGTAGAAGATAAAGAAGTTAAAACTGATAAGTTTTTTATTTATTAAGAGATAACAATTTTTGATAACACTTCTGTTCACTAATTAATTAGCAGAAGCTGACAGAGAAGAAGAGAATTAAGGCCTTGTTCAGATCTCAAATACACTTCATGATTCAGAACATTGAGAAGACAGCTCTGCTCTCTGAGCATGTCAATCTGCTTACTGCTAAGATGAAATCTGAGACAGCAGACAAGAAAATGCAGGATTTTGAGATACAGGTTGATCTGGCTGAGAGAGAGCAGCAGAAACCCTTCTCTGAGAAGATAGTGAAGAGAGATTTGAGATGATTATTATCTCAGATGAGAAGAAGAAGAAGAAAAATAAGAATAAGAAGTGAATTGTGAAGAATAATAAAAAGAATGAGAAAGAGTAGAAAGATGATGAGTAGAAAAAGTTTTTTTCTTTTTATATTAGTTAGTTGTAAGTTCATAATTATTAATAATTGAAATTAATTTTGAGTTTTTAAAAATTATTGTACAAGTTGTAATCAAGTCAGGAATAATATATATATATATATATATTTAACTATCATCATTTATAAATCACTATAATGTATAAGTATCAACATTTTTTCAACATTAATATTCACAATATTAATATATTTTTAATGATATTATCTGATAACACAATTTGATAACACTCTCTTTCACAATATTAATATATTTCAAGAAATATAACAGAGATTAATCAAGATTGTTTATTTACTTTTATACATTGATGATATTCAATCTGAGTTAGTACTAAAATTATAACTAAGTTAAGAAACAAGATTATTTTCTCTTATATTAATTCTTCTTACACATATCAGTGATCAGTTATTAAAAATAAATTATCATCTTTCTCAAATTATTATTATGTCTTCTGAAGTCACTTCTTTCACTTCTTTTACTTCTATTGAAGATTCACAAACTCTTCAAGAAATCACTGTGAATTACAAAGTCTATATTGTTTACAATTCAACACAGAATGCTCTCTTTCAATTATAATAAATAATCACTTCATTCTTCACATCTGATTCCAGGTCATGAAATTTATGAAAAACTCAACATAAACACTGAGATAAACTATGAAATAATTATCAATAGATTGTATTGTAGATTACTGAAGAGTCATCTCTCTATTATTATTAGTATTATTATTCTTCAATTATAGATGTATGCAGTCAGAGACTATGACATCTACCTGAGAACTTTTAGTTCTCAGGGTTTTTCCTATATCTGTAAAGTTAACTATTATACATTCATCAATTTCAGATATGCAAAATCAGAAAATTCCAGCCCAGAATACAAAAACTGTTTACAAATTGCAGTGTTTTAACATCTTCTGATACTTTGAAACCATTTGACAATATCATGACAAAGGAAAAGAGAAAGAGAACACAGTCTTAAAGATAGACACATTAAATAGATAGATAGAAAGAAATTGAAAGGAAAAGATAAAGTAAAGAGAGACTGTAACAAAACAAATTATTAAAAGATAGTATATAGCTGTTTTAACAGACTATATCTGATTGATTTCCTCCTCTTCATATTCAGATAATTCTGAATTTAGTCATTTTCTTATAGCTGCTTAAGTTTCTGATAGAAAGTCTATTAAGTATTTAATTCCTGTCTCAGTTGAGAATAAGAATCTCATATTTAATTGATTTAGATTATACTTCTCTTTCAATCTGGCTCTGAGACTATTGTATAATGCACAGTGCATTATAATATACTCAGGATTCTCATTTACATTGCAGAATGAGCATTCTATTGAGTCAAATCTATCATCAAATCTTTGTATATAAGATTTGAAATAGCCATGTTCTAGTTTCAGCTGTATTATAGATGAGAATATTTTCTTTTTACATTTAATTGAACAAGATTTTCACTTGAGTTTTGTTTCAAATCTTGAATAATATATACTCTTCTTTTATTTCTGTCAGCTTTCATTTCACTTGTCTAAACAAGATTCTTTTATTTCTCTCTTTATAAAAGATCAGAACATAATTTTTTGAATAGATCTGCTTAATTCTGCACTCTTTTTTACAGCTGAATCAGTCAATTCATTGTCATGAATATTTATATGAGCAGGAACCTAGTGTAGATGAATTATCAGCTTTGATATTCTTCTCTTTTGAATTTTCAAAACAGAGTTTAAGATCAGTTCAAGATTCATTTGATCATTATAAATCTGACTATTTCTAAGTCTTTTTAAAGCAGCTTGACTATCAGAGAATATTCATATCTCTTTCAAACTATTTTCTCTTTTATGAGATTTTATTTTAATAAGTTTGAAAGCTTTCACTATTGTAAATAATTCAGCATCAAAGACTTCAGATTCACAGCCTAAATTTCAGAAATCTGAGATAAAATTAATATTATCTTCAGTATAAGCAATGCCTGCATCTAATCTATTCACATTCTCATTTTTTGAGTCATCTGAATAAATCAGAATAGAGTCTTTTATATTGATTATAGAAATTCTCTTCAAATGCTGTTCATATTCTTTCTCTTTAGATAGTTCACTTATTTGTAAGTCTATAAGAGATTCAAGCTTTTCTCTTCAGAGAGATAACTTCTCATGATCAACTTTTTCAATATTTAAAGAAGAAAATTGATTTTTAATCAGAGAGTATAGTCTGTACAGTTGAGAAGACATTTTCTTTGAAGAATTATTTTCATTTCAATCAAGAAATCTATTTCAATTCAGTTCATTTTCAGAGTTAATTGATAGAAATGAAGAAGAGACTCTTTCTCTGATTATATGATTTAAGCTCATCTTTATAACTCTCAGAGCATAGTTCATACAGGCCTTTTCAAATCTAATAGCAGAAGAAGGAATTGAAGCTTGAATTTTCATTGCTTTAATAGAAGATGATTTGAATGCTTTCAGAATTCTTCTCAAGACTCTGTTTTACAGACTTTGAAAGAGTTCAGTGAAATTCCCTTGATTATTCTATCAAACTTGAACTTCATAATGAGCTACTGATGTAATACAGGCTATATATAACTGTCTCATAGCCTGAAAGAATAGACCTCTCTCTATATTTGATAGTCTGATTATATTGTTTAATAGTCTTTCTGCCTTGATAGTTCTTTGTTGAATGTGATATTTAAAATTCAACTTTGAAGTTTAATCATACTTCTAATCATTTGATATTTACACTGGGTTTAATCTCTCTATTTAAAAGAGTTAGAGATAGTTCTTTCTCATTAAATCTAGAAAAGAAATGAATTAACTCAGTTTTATTCATATTAAATTGAATTTGATTGATATCTGCTCTAACAAAGATTTTCTTTGCAGCTTCTTCAATCACTTTTAAATTCTCTTTAATAGTTTTTGAGCTGTAGACTAGATCAATATCATTCACATAACTCAGAGATCACACTATTCTCATATTTCTATTTTTGAATAGATATGCAGTGTATATTGCAAATAAAATGAGTGAGATTGAAGATTCTTATGATACTTCTATTTTTATCTCAGTCTTGTCTTATTTCATTCTATCAAAGAAAAGTTATATAATTCTTTTAGATATAAAACAGTTAACTCATTTTATTAGAGAAAGTGACAGTTTTAACATCTTCAATGTCTGAATTAACTTTGACTTTGAAACATGATCAAATGCTTCTTTTATATCAATAAAAACTGCAGTTGAGATCAGATCTTCATACTTTATTATTTGAATATTATGAACAACTGAGAGAACAGTATCAATTGCAGAGCACTGTTTTCTATCTCTCATTTATTCACTGAATAAAAGAGAATTACTGATAGAGCTTATAAAAGATAGTTAAGTAGCTATTATCTTTTCTAAAACCTTTTCTAGACAGTTCAATAGAGATATTACTCTATATAACTTGAGAATTGAAGTTTTTCTATTAGATTTTGCAAGAATCACTTCAGTGGCTTCTCTTCAGCATTCAGAATGATATTCATTTTTTAAGAGATTGAAAAAGAGCTCAAAATATTCATTCTTTAAGTAGAAGTATATATTTTGAATAATCAAGTGATTAATTGAATCAGGCTCTGCAGCAGTCTTAACTGAACTTGAGAAGATAGCTAACTCTAATTCATCTTGAGTAAGATCAGGTCATTCCCAGTCATTTTCATCAATATAGTTGAGAAGTGATATATTCTCTTTCTCTGAATCTGAATCTGATGAGTTTTGAAAGAGAGTTCTTATAAAAGCTTGATATTTTTTCTCAAAAGAGTTTGCTGTATATGATTCATTCTAAAACTCATATTCTAAGATTGAAAGTTTTGCTACACTTCTTGTTTTAGTATAGTTAAAAGCTTTAAAAACTTCTTTTTCTTATGCTTCTTCAAGAAATTTATTCCAGCAGTCTGTTTTAGCTTTTTTAATATCTGAAAAATATTCATTTCTGACAGCTTTGAACTCTTTATCAGAAATTATATCATTCTTTCAATCTCTTCTAGCAGTAGTCAATTGTTTTCTTTTAGATATGATATTCTCATTTCATTAAGGTTTAGAATACTCAGAAGACTTTCTCTTTAAAATATTATCTTTAACACTTACTAGAATAATAGATGTAATGAGCTTCACTCTATTCTTAAGCATTTCATTTGAGATATCTTGATCAGGATTTCAATACAGCTCACTCTATCTTTGAGATTTTAACAGTTTTATACTTTCTTCAACTGTCTTTCAGTCAGCTTTTTCAAAGTTAAACTGATTAGAGAGAAGAGGATTTTCACTCATTTATTTCTTACTCAGTTCAATATCAAATTGAATAATCTCATGATCTGATTCTGATGTTTTATTTGAATTAATAAACCAGTTTACAAGTCTTTTTTCTATTAGATTTTATGACATGAAGATTAGATCTATAATAGATTTCTGTTTCATACCTTTTCTAAAGAATGTTTGTTAATCAGACTTGTTAACTAAATCTATTGAATGCTCAAAGATTTATTTAATTAGATTATCAGCTCTTACTACTCTTTTGCAGTCTGAATTTTATCAGAGATAATATGCATTGAAATCTCCTGCAATTATAGAGTTTCTTGATAAAGTTATATTCAGAAATTGTCTATCAATTGTTCAGATATTATTATTTTTCTTCAATGACTTTTCATTATAGATATTTATAAGCTGTATAGTATCAAACTCATTCTCTTTATCTATAACATCACTCAGCAGAATATCAGAGTCAGACATGATATCAAATCTTAGATTAAATTAATATCTTGATCTCTTTCTTTCATAGATCACTACTCTTGACTTTATCTCAGACTTTTGAGATAAAAAGCAGTAATAGCTTGAATGAGAAATGATATATTT